TACGTCCTTCATTGCTTTCACTTTTCTCAGCTTCTTGAAACTGAAAATGATTTGAGTTTATTAAATTTGAAATACAGCATTTCTTATAAACCTTTAGCTAAAACTTATGGGTTTATCCAGTCCCTTGTTGTTTTAATCAGGTGACAAAGCAGCATGCACTGGGCTTTCTCCATTTGCCCTGTAAGGGCTTATTTCCTTGCCAAAAGCTGTTGTGAGTTTGAAGACTTAAAATGACCTTTAACAGGTGTATTCAGTGCTACCTCACACACCTGCAGCTGTGAAAAAATATATCTGTAAGATCAGTATTAATTGCTCTCCTGGTATTTGCTGCTGGTGTTAGGTGCTATTTCAGTGCATCTGGATCAAACATTCTTAGCAGCACACGTAGTTTTCTTATCAAGTCTGTAGACTCCCTTCCCTGGTTTTGATGGATGGCATTCCATATTGATTGGAATAACTTAATAGTTATTCCAGTAGACAGCTGCTCCTTCAGCATTGTTTTCCTCTTCAAGGTCAGGGATGCTGGTGCTTTTACACCATCTGCCAACACTGCTGACATTGCTGTAATGTACATTTTTTCATTCTCTGAAGTTTTTATGATGATGAAATTGCTGCTGTTTTTTCAATGTTATAATTGGATGGTAAGTCAAAGTAAGCTTATGTTTTCTGTATCTCCCATTTGGCTGAGCAGATCATGATCTTTATGTAATCCAGTCACATACAGCTGGAATGCAAAAAGTTTTTTAGCAAGTTAGAAGGTAGATGCTAGAAGACCAAGGTTCTCCACTGTAGGCAAAACCCATTATTACCCACTGCTCACGTGCATCAGCTGTTACTACTGAGCTGAAAGTCCTGCTGTGCAATGTTTTGTGCTTGTGCTGTTCCTTGAGTTTTCATTATAATAATTTCCTGCTTAACTGGGGCTTCCATCTCTTCTCTAACTATACACAAATTCCACAAAATCTATAGCTTGTTTTTCTGTTTCTTGAAAGAATCCTATTCAGGGTTCATCAAATTATTTCTCCATCAAGTTGGTGTACAAAAGGTTATGCTTTGTTTTCATCTTTGCACGTTTGTCTCCACCATATATTTACACCCAGCCTAACAGTTGTTACTTCTTTTTCTGTGCACGCTGTCACCGTGAGTCTAAAACTTGCGTTTTAACATCCCTTGTGTTTTGGTACAGTCCCTTTTGCACTTGTATGTCTCATCTCCAAACGATCTGCTATTTCAATCCATTTACAAGACTCGGGGAGACTCATAAAACTTGTAAAAATCCTGGTGGGGTTCTCTGACGTGTGGTACAGGAGAGCTGGCAGCCTGGTGTGCCTGGGCTTTGGGTGTCTTTGTGCTCCGTCCTCACTAGGGGGGGCCTCTTGCCACGCAGTCCCCAGGGAAGGATGGCCAGGAGCTTAACACCACCCTTAATTTTTTACTTAAACTACTTGGGCAGAAGAAAGCTTGTTTTCCTTTTCTGATGAAGATAGTAGCTGAGTGCTAGAAGTAGTATTATAGTTGCTTACCCAGCTTTTGTGCTGCTGAGGTACAGCTAAGTACAGTTTACTATCTTAAAACTCCAGGACCTTTGTTGGGTTTGGTTATGTTTTTAAAGACATTTGCAGGCCTTTGTCATGTTGATGTTACTTTTCTGAGTGCTGTTTGCAAAGTTGCTGAAGGAACTCTTTGCTGTATATACAAGTTAGTTTCATACTGCCTTAATCTTTGTCAGTGCCTCATCTTTCTATGTGTTTTGAGTCCTCAGTTTTTTGGTGAAGGCTTATGTAAAAAAACCTAAAAACCAAAACCAAACAAAAAACCCCCAAAACACATTACCTTGCCTTTTTTGTGATGCTTAGATCAGACTCTTGTTTTACTCCTTGGTGATCTAACATTGACTTCACCATGTAAGTGAAAGGAAGACAGATGTGAAGCTGAGGTTCAACATCAAGCTACCACTTAGTTTTACAACCAAGTATGTCATTATACTCCAGAAATAAACTGTGTGTAGGACATAGTACATGCAGGGTAAAAAAAGAGAGCAGATTTGTAGATTGGTGTTTTTTTTTTTCCCTGTAAAATTTAAGGTATCTTAATCTACTTCCTAGTAATTTCTGCTGCAAGATAGTAATTAGCCTTTTAGTGAATATTTTATTTCTTCTGCTAGCTTTTAGCCATCACTCTGTTCTGTATGTTAACACTTGCTGTAACGCAAGCTATCTTTCACCCAGATTTTGCCTGGCTGGGAGGAGAACCATGTAGGACCCTCCCGCGCGCTCTATTCTTAATGCTCTGAAGAACGTGAAAACAGCTCTTGCACGTATACCCCTTCTTGACTCCTGTGCAGACAGCTGGTTGTTGCATGACATGAAGAGTTTGTATTCAGTGAGTGAGAACAAGTGCTCCCAGGCACATTAAATCTCTTGTTGGTCTGGGGGAATGAATCAGCTTGCCATCTGGGACGGTCAGCGCAGCCCCTTTGTCTTGGGCTGAGTTCAACCCAGCACCTGCCCGCCGGGCGGCAGCATTTTGTCGCAGGCCTGCTGCTGCTGGGCTGAACAAACTCTCTGTCTCTCATTTCTCATAGGATTTGAAGAGCGGCTAGATCTCATTGTTTTCATCTGGCTGTTCTCATCACTTTTTGAAAAAGTGGTGGTACATTCTCTGTAGATCAGGATACACGCTGAATTTTGTATTGTTTCTGGCTGCTTAGCAATTACAGGTCACTGAGGGTAGTGGTGTGTTTGTCAGTGCCTTGATGATTTGGAAGACTTGAGAGTTTTCATTTTAGTCCTTTTGCAGGAGCACAGCCTGTCAATAAATCTTGGGTGTGGGAAAAATAAAGTATGTGTTTAGTTCTGGTTGATTGTATCATAACCACCACCTGTCCTCTATTTCCTCCCCCATCCCATAGAATATTCTGACGCATTTTGCAAACAGTTTCCTATCTCCTTCCCAACTTATGGTGTGCACAAAATGCCCTTTGTTTAGTGAGAATTGTTCCGTAAGGAGCAATGGCAGATGGTAGCCATTTGGCTTTAAGGGTTACACAGGGGAAAAAAACTAGAGGAAAGGAGAATTATAGGAACTCTGCTGGCTTTATGAATAGGAGTTGGTTATCGTACTTGAAACCTCTGGTTCTCAGATAATACTAAACAGAGTCTCTCTGGAGGATAAGCTTTAGAACTTTTCTCTTTAAAAAGGTCATGTTTAGCTTAGCATAGTGTTTTTCTAAAAAAAAGTGATATCCTTGTGTTCTGTATATTCTTAGTCAGAAATTCTTCATTTTGTAGAATTTGGGTGCCAGGTTTTCTTCTCTAAGTTAAACATGTATCTGTCAAAAAGGGTTGGGAAGAGGGGACAGCACTGTAAGGCATTAAATGATCTGTACAAGAAAAGCTGTGGCCATGAGCACTGTTTGCAGATTTTGTTTTCTTTCCTTGCTTGTGTTTTTTAAAAGGAAAGATAACTTTATAGAACAATGCAAAGGAGCTTTGTGTTACTTTAATACCTTCCTTTGAGTTAAAAATGTCTCATCCTTTGTAGCCTTTTATATTGCTAAAGGTTATTAAAATCTTAAGAATGTTAAGGCTGATAGATTGGAAAGTATTTGAGATTGTATGCATCAATAACAAATTCATGGGGCGTGTTTTCTGTACACATAATTTTCAACCTTTCTTAACTGAGTGTATTTCAGTTCTAGTTTCACTGACTTATGTTAACCTGGAGACTCCGTCAGTGAGGACTAAAGTTTTCTCAATCTCTCTCCATAGTCTGACCTGAAATGTGTCCAAGATGCAAAAGGAGGCTCTTTCTACAGGGACCATTGTCCTGTGTTAGGTGAGTTGAAGATAAAGTAAACTTATCTTGATATGTGTTAATTATACGTAGCCTGGATTTCTCTTCAAAGGTTATCTAAAAGGACTGTCCTTACTAGTGAAATGTAAATGGTAGCATTTCTATGCATTAATAATAAATTGTAACACATTTCTAAATGTATTTGGTATCAGTGTGCCAAGTGGATGGCAAGGGAGCTGTTAATTGTTGACTAAGTAGTAAATTGAGTCACAAGTCTTATGCACTATATTTCTAAAGAGCCGAAGCTGTGCATTCTTATAACATTGTCAAATATTCAGAGATATTAAATGAAGTAGCATGCGCATGGCCATAAACAGGAGTCATTCGAACATATAACTTAATCTGGTATTTTATACTAATACTAGTATATGTTGTGACATCTTAGTTAAGGTTTTCCATATGAGCTATTGCACTGACTTATTCCTCTAGTGTCTTGGCTGGGCTGTAGACATGTGCAGAGTGTATTATCAAGAAGAATTGCCAGGTGTTTTGGTTTTTGAAATACGGGCAAGTTGGGATAAATTTTATAGATTACTGGACACAAATTTCTTAATTAATGTGTATTTCCTTGGCAAAACACCTGGTCATAGTACTGGACACCACAGAAAATCTTGCTTTTCTTTTCGAGTTTCTTATTATACTTCAGTGCTTAAAAAACTTAGCTGATAATACTGGCTTTTGTAAAACGATGAGAATTCTGTATTTACTAGTCTTAATCTAATTCCTTGCACAAGTACTTGAAGTATGACCTGCGAGTGCTATTCTTTTATTGACAGCATTGGTGAAAAGGTGAAAACAGTAAAGCTCTGTTTTGTGTAGAAAAAAACCCAGTTGTTCAAGAAGACACTTAGATATTTACTGTCAATTAGATGAATTGTTTGAAAGTAAAAAGCCAAGGCACTCAGATCTTTGTATCTGTACTTAAAATTAATCTTGTCATTTTAGTCTGATGGGAATAAAAATAGGAAAGTAGTAATAGGATCTTACTGGTTCTTCATTACACAGGTAAACTTAGGTTCTTATGGATGCCCTTTATTCGTTTTCATTCTTGCTTTAAAAGTACAGGTCTAGGTTTTCTGCACGTAGCATACTTTTAGGGTGATACTGTATTGAATGTATGAATATTAATCACTAATGATAGTAGGAGACTATTCTTTGTTAAATTCTTTCCCTTCCACTATATTAAGTTGCTCTAAAGGATGGTGATGAACTCAGTTCATCATTCTTACCACGTTATCCTCCATCTTCTCAGTCTTACTGTTTGTTAGAACATCTGTCCCTTTTATTTCTCTTCTGAATGTAGTTCACAGATACGTTCATGCTGTGAATTTAAATGTATGCTTGCATTAAAAACTGGAAAGTATATTTTGTGATTTGCAGTCTGCTTTGAAAAGTAGAGTGCAAATAATATTCCAACAGGGGCCTAATTAATATGGAGTAGTATGTAGTTGGTGCAAAATACTGGGACTGATTTTGTTCAATACCACATCGATGACCTTGATAATGAGACAGAGTACAATCCCAGACAATTTGCAGGTGATAGCAGTTGGCAGAGGGGTGTGGTTGAAAGTAGAGCTTTATTCAGAAAAGCCTTGAGGAAGTGAAGAATTTGGTGAATGGAGACTTTGTGGAGTTCAATCAGGAGTGCAGTTTTGCACTCTGATTGGAATAAGGCTATGTGCTGGGAATTGTGAATGCCTGAGTGAGGAGCCTTGCTGAGGAAGACCTGGGTGTTGCACTGAATACCGAAGTGAAGAATGAGACAGCAGTGTGCTGTCATTGCAAATAAGGTAAATTTCATAGTGGGCTGTATTATAGAAGGATGGTGGGCAACAGAATAGGAAAAGTTGTTATCTCCCTCTTCTCAATAGTAATGAGGCTGTGTCTAGAATATTATGTCCTGTTTGTGTTATTGTGTGTCCATATCCTTTTCCCTCCCCCCACACAGTTTTGAGAAACTGGAGAGGGTCTGATGGTGGCCTGCTGAAGTGGTTAAGAGACTGAGAAGACATGATTTGCAAGGAGGAGGGGCTGGGCTTTTTTGGTAAGAAGGTTAAGAGGTAATCTACTAGCCACCTACAACCACTTACAGGGTGATTGAAAATGATGGCACCAAAATTTCAGTAGTGGCAAATGGCATAAAAACAAATGGTAGTGGCCTTAAGGCCACCTTAAGTGACTAGCGAGGTTCAGATCAGATATTGAAGAGATTTTTTGTTACACCTACAGCTCTATATTACAGCACTAGAAAAAGTTACTTGGAGAGGTTGTGGAACCTCAGTCCTTGAGGCCTTCCAGGACTCAGATAGGCAAAGCCACAGCTGACCTCAGCTGGTTGTTAGTTCAGCTTTGTGTGGGACATCAGACCAGATGACTTCTACAGATCCTTTCCTCCAACTAATACTTCTGTAATTCTTTGCTGGATTATATCTCTTCCTTTCTTAGACTGTCTCATCAGGGCTGTCTCTGGGATGTTTGCTGTCTAAGTTTTCTGTCTAGTGAGTTCCATATCAGTAGCTTTTCTGAAGAATTAATCTTTGACTTTGTCCTCTGCAGAAGTGGCTGGTTTCCATGTGTTTTGCTGTGAAGGTGAAGGGTGCAGACTGAAAATAGCGTTCCATCTACAGGTCCTTTAAAATAAGACCAGGACAGAAGGAAGTCACTGGGTGGTCATAGAAGTCAAAGTCCATTGAACGCAAGCATTTATTCATGGGCATGTTTCCTTTCTCAGCAGTTTCTTCTTCAGTAGTATCAGATTCTCTTCTTCCCCATTCTTTACTGTGGAGACTTTTAGTGTTACAACTAGTGCTGCCAACATCTATTGTGGATTACAGGCTCTGGAATACGTCTCCCTCCAAATAATGTTTTTTGTCTGTATTTGTTTGTACTTCCTTATTGTTACAGTGTAAGGACCCTTTCTCCATGATTACGTCTTGCTTGGAAGAGGAAAAACAAACACACCGCACCCCTTGCTGCCTTAGAGAAAGCAGTATCACTAAAGGAACTCTGCTCACCCTGTCCTTTCCCACTGCTGTTGCCATTGAACTCAATCTACATCACTTCTGCAGTTGTCGTACTCTCCACTGTTCTGTGGATGGCACCAGATACCATCCTCAGGTTCTGGTGGTGAGCAGGTCCACAAGTGTGTTCTCTCATCAGTTAACACAGTTTGATATGTGTGAATGTATGCCATTTCCCTCCAGCTAATGAACTTTTGCTATGACACATCTTTTGAAAGCAGGGATTGTCCAGGGAGAACATTTTAATTTTAAATTTGCAGGGGTTTTTTTTGTTTGTAGTCATCTCCCCACTTATAAGGTTAAAGATTTTCATTGTCGGTCATTCTGGAGGTATTCTTTTGCCAGTGCTTTCTCCACATTCAAGGACTGACGCAATTCAAAACCACTTTCTCTGAGCCTTCTGCTTATCTTTCAGCATGGAGAATAAGTGTGGTCTTGTGAGTATTTTCTTCTTATTCCATTTCAGGTGAGCAAAATGGTAACAGAAACCCTGGTGGGCTGCAAATAGGTGACCTTGTAAACATTGACCTTGATTTGGAAATTGTACAGTCTTTGCAGCATGGTCATGGAGGATGGACTGATGGCATGTTTGAAACTTTAACAACAACTGGAACAGTTTGTGGCATTGATGAGGATCATGACATTGTAGTACAATATCCAAGTGGCAACAGGTTTGTTATATAGCCTTCATCATTGATTCTCACAAACTTCCTTTGCCTTCAGCACTTGTGATCGCTTGGTGCCAGAAACTTTCTGTTCTCCTTTTGTGTCCGTTAAGATTTTCTTGAGAATTTTTATATTCCTTCTACAATGTGTAATGAAGACTTACCTTTAAAGATGCTTTAGTAGGAAAAGGAAGTTTGTTGCCTCTCTCACTTGGTGAAAATTTGAGTCCAAAATAATGAATTATGTTCTGGACTATCTTATTTCCAAAATGTAGTGTTTTAAGCAGTAATTTCTTTTTTAATTACAAAGTATCCCGTGTTTTCAAGGGGAATGGCAATAGCAATGCATAGTGGGTTTTCAGGAAAATGGGCTAAGAGGACTGGTGACAAACTTTTTATGTTGGGCATCTTGTTTAATATAGAGTGACCTTGGCATGGTCTATGTCTAGCATTTTCTTATTCAAAGGGATGTTAGTTTATGTAAATATAGACCAAGAATGGGAAGTGTTGGGGAAGTTGTTGCCAAAACCACTCCCTGCAAGGAGTTTAGGTTTGAAGTTTGATGAGCTGCATCCATGCTAACACGATTCAAACTCTACAGCTGGATCTGAGCTGATATGTCTACATAGTTTCGTGTTGTCTTGCTCTTAAAGGCATAGCTTTAAAAAGCAGCTGATGAACGTAATACCATTTCAGTTGTATCTGGAGACTGACCTGTTCAGTTTGTCCAGAAAGGATTAACAGTGCATTATTCATTCAGGCTTTCCCTCAAGATATTGTTTGTTAATATTGCAAAGTAATGCAAAACAAAGCTGTTTTCTGAGCTAACACAAGCTGAAGGGATGCAAGTGGCACTTCTTCTGACAATCATGGCTGCAGAGCCAGTGAGGGGAGCTGCTCTATCTTGTGGTTTCCTCCCTGACTTTGCCTGTTATAGAGATTATCTGATGCTTCTCAACTAGTTCATATAGCTGAACAAAAGTCAACCCCAGAACAAATGGCATATAAAGGAGAGATCACCATATTATATACTAGAATATAACTCAGGATAAAACCAGCTAAATGTCTCTAAACCAGTAAAATTTATAGTACGAATTAGGATAGTTTGGTTAAAAATTGAGATGTATCTAGGGCATCCATTTGATTGAAGAGTATTTTTATAACTGAATGTTGCAGCTTATGACTTGGGAGAGAGGGGGCAAAATCCTGTGTTCTTCCCATGTTGTGTCCTGACGGTCCAGTCCTTTGTGGGACAGGTTGGATCTTCCCCTTTTCAACCAGAGTTGTCTCCTCTTCCTGGAAAAATAAACAAACTGTATAGCTACTTTCAGAGCTATTATATTGTTGTCAGCTTGCTTCCCCTCAGGCAGGATATTTCTTTATTGCTTTACAAATGTACATCTCTGAAGATTACCCTGGAAATATTCAACTAATGAGCCACAGACAAGTTTATGGGCAAAAAACGGTTAGCAACAAATACGCTATAGTATCCAACTGGAGAAAGTTTGCAGGCATACAAGCAGAATCTTGTCCAACAGATAATTTTTAAACTTGTATTTCACTTTGCATGTTTAAAATCTACTTTAAATGATTCATTGTCTAGGTGGACATTTAATCCAGCTGTTCTCACCAAAGCCAATGTTGTTCGAAGTGGTGATGCTGCTCAAGGTGCAGAAGGAGGTACCTCTCAGTTTCAAGTGGGTGACCTTGTTCAAGTATGTTATGACTTAGAGCGAATCAAGCTTCTTCAGAGAGGTCATGGAGAGTGGGCTGAAGCAATGCTTCCAGTAAGTAATTGTATGTTTGGATTCATACAATTGTAAAACTTGCATAGTATTCTAGTTATGGTTGGTAATAATATCTGGAGGTTGTGGGAGTCAAAAGTGATTTTTTTCTAAGTTAGAGAGAATGTATTTCATCAAACATGATGTAATACTTGCTCAGATGTAGTAATCTACTTAGTCTGATGAAACGTAGCTAAAGGTATTAGTGACTGTACTATTAAACAACTGGCTTAAAATTTGTGACTTATTTTAACATTCAGATTTCTAAATATTTTATTTTTGGTATTATTTGCATTTGACATTTTCTTTATGCAGACTTTAGGTAAAGTTGGTCGGGTCCAGCAGATCTATTCAGACAGTGACTTAAAGGTAGAGGTTTGTGGGACATCTTGGACATACAATCCAGCAGCTGTCTCAAAGGTGGCATCAGCAGGATCTGCTATAAGTAATGCATCTGGTGGTAAGTTTGAAGAATAACCAGTAATGTATGCATGGCAGGTATTTGTATTAATTAAAAAATTGTTAATAAGTACTAGTACATAGTTTGTATGCAAGGTTAATAATACAGTTGGGGTTTGGCTAATTGATGTTATATCTTAGAGAAAGATACAAGAAGCAGCTTGCAGTCTGTACGGAAATGTTGGTTGTTGTTATCTTGATGAGGTGCAAAAACTCCAAATTGAACTTGGGTTTCTGTTTGGCCACAGTGCAGGTATGTCTTTGGAGGTCTCTAAGGACTTTAAAATTTTAATGATTGGAAGGGGCATTAGACTGGAGTAGGAGCTAAGGTATGAAGAGAGTGTCAATGGCTGTAGCAAGCAGCATACTTCTTGTTTAATAGGTGGTGTGGGATAGCAAGTGTGAGGGATCTGTTGCAAGCAGTTACTCAAGATAATATTCTTTCCTTAAAATTTCTGTCTTAAAATTTAGTCAGATGTCCTTTGACTAATTACAGTGGGATTTTTTTGTGTGTCTATGTAATCACATTTGAGTTCTGGTGAACCTGCTCTCGTTCATCTAATAACAAGGCAGAAGGACTGTCCAATGTGATTTATGTTCTGTTGGCTATTTCACAGATCAACTAAACTGGAATGTTTTTCCTCTTTTTGGTCATAGCTAGTTGTTTTTTCCTTTTCACATATTTGCTTTAGTGCCAAGAAACCTTTCTACATAGTTTTCTAGACTTTTTCCTAGGGCGGCATAGATACAGTGAGTTTTCTGCAATAAAGATAAAGTCACAGTGGCCATAAAACTAGCTAGAAGAGTAATATGACTTAGTGTTTCAAATGACAGAGGGCAGGGTATAGCCTAAGTTAAGCTAGGAGACTAGGAAGCCTGTTATATCAATATGTAAACTTATGTTTTTACCTCCTCCCCACCCTTCTATATTTTGTGGTAGACAAGCTATTTGTGGTTCAGTCAACTTTTGTTTTGAAGTGTGTGATGTGACAGTCTCAACTATCTAAAGGGTACTGGGGTGCAGTGCTTACTCAGAACTGAACAACTTACAGCTGCCATTTTACAGTGGTTTGTGTATTACTGTGTACGTGCCTTTAGAAACATGACAAATTTAGCTGTTACTTTTCTGTTCTTGTGTGATTAGAATTGTAATCTTAATTGTCCTTTGATTAATAATTATAGAGAGATTGTCCCAGCTATTGAAAAAATTATTTGAAACCCAAGAATCTGGAGATCTCAATGAAGAATTGGTTAAAGCTGCTGCCAATGGAGATGTTGCTAAAGTGGAAGATCTGCTGAAGAGACCAGATGTGGATGTAAGTGCTCTGGTTTGGGAGGACCTGTTCTGGGGATCTGTAATACTAAAGGAAGCGAAGCTCTCCTAGGCTCTTTGCCAGTCACTAGTGTGTCTGCATAGAAGTAGTACAGCTGGTTCTAGTGTCTCTTCTCCCATTTGTTGTCCTATGAAACGTGTTGGGGGGTGTGTGAAAATAGTGCTTTACAACCTTTCTCACTGGACAGATTTGGTGTTCTGTTGTCTGCCACGAATTAAAATACCTTCCAGCCTCTGTCTGCCGGAGTTGGGGCAGAGAACCAAACGCTCACAATTAGTGAAGGGTCTTCAATGTCTTGTTTTGAGGGGATAGAAAGAAAGAGGGGAGGTTTGGGGGATTTTTTGCTGTTGTTGTGGGTTTTGGGGTTTTTTGTTTGGTTTTTTTTTTAACTGAGGAGGTAGATCATTTAATCTGCTCTCTGTCAGATTTCTTTTACCAACTTGTCTAATCACCTAGTAGTGAAAAGTCTAAAAGAAAATGCTTAAGAATTATTGGACTTGGTTCAGGGAATATGTTTTAAAATCACAATCAAATGTTTTTCTCACTACAGCAGTAGTAATTCTTGCAGATAAGAGACTAAACTCCATCAGTTCTGAGGATTGATTTGTGGCTCAAGATTGTATAAAACATGGTATTTTGTTCAGACTGATTCCTGTTGTTGCCATAAATTAGAAGATGAAGTTAAATATACTGTAGAGTGGAAGACTGGTATCATTCTGAGACCTGTTCTCAAAATCTTGCCTTTACAGTAGCCCAAAGATGAAAGTTTTTGATCTAGCTATTGTTAAGGTCTTAATGCTTGAAATAAATCCATTTCTTGTTTCTTTCTTTCAGTCTAGCTAATACTATAGAAATGAAATTGAGAAGACCTAGGAGATTATATGTGCCAGAAAGGCAACTGTCTAAAAATTGTTTATTTGATACTTTCATATGCGTGCTGTTGCTTTAGTAGTATACATGCAAGCTTATTAGAAAACTTAAAGTAGCTCATAGGGGAGGTGTGTATCTTGCAACTTACTTCAAAGTGTTGATATGCTTCCAGGTGAACGGACAATGTGCTGGACACACAGCTATGCAAGCTGCTAGTCAGAATGGCCATGTTGACATTTTGAAGTTGCTTCTGAAACAGAATGTGGATGTAGAAGCAGAGGTAACCTAAATATTTCAAAATACGCTTTGTGTCTCCTTAAGTTTTAAACTTTGCTACATACAAAATAGCAATTCTATTGGAGTTGCCTTTTTTTTTAAAAGTCAGAGTGAAAAAACTTTTCTTACTGTGATTCATCAGCACAAGAAGGACATGGACCTGTTGGAGGGGGTCCAGAGGAGGGCCACAAAAATGATCCGAGGGCTGGAGCACCTCTCCTACGAGGCCAGGCTGAGAGAGCTGGGGTTGTTCAGCCTGGAGAAGAGAAGGCTGCGAGGAGACCTAATTGCGGCCTTTCAGTACTTAAAGGGGGCCTATAGGAGGGATGGGGGCAATCTTTTTAGCAAGGCCTGTTGTGACAGGACAAAGAGTAATGGATTTAAACTAAAGAAGAATAGATTTAGACTAGACATAAGGAAGAAATTTTTTACAATGAGAGTGGTCAGGCACTGGAACAGGTTGCCCAGAGAGGTAGTGGAGACCCTGTCCTTCAAGGTCAGGTTGGCTGGGGCTCTGAGCAACCTGATCTGTAAAGCTGTCCCTGCTCACTGCAGGGGGGCTGGGCTAGATGATCTCTAAAGGTCCCTTCCAACCCAAAGCATTCTATGATTCTGTTCCCGAATTAGCCTACTACTAACAATATTACAAAAGGTCAATATCCAGTTCTTTTGCACCTCTAAGTGAAATGTAATCTTAATATAATAGAGCTATGTAAACTAGTATGTGATTGTAGTGGTTGAAACCCCTTCTTTATTTCCTTTATTTCATTTCAGCAGTAGAATGCAATAGACTAGCATGCTGCCTGTGGTATTCAGAGAAAAAGATGTTGTCAGATACTGCATCTCCAACTTCAGATACTTGCTATGCTTCTTATATACAGTGTTCAGTTAGGAGGAAATTTTCCGTTCTTAACTAAAGCAAGTTTGAACAGAAAGTAATAACAGTTTTTTTGGGTAGAAACTGCCAACTCTGGTTCCAGTTTTTAGTTTGGGGGGTTTTTTTAGCTTCACCCAAAATGGAAGGATTTCTCTTAGGTTTTTTAGAATTATTGTTTGTAAGAAAATTATCTGTCAGCGTAGTATGTATTTGCATTTTGTATTGATTTTGCTTCATTTACTTACACAGAACGCACTGATATTGCAGCCTTTGCTTATTTTTGTGAAGCACAAGAAGGATCTGTCAAATTTCTCTTATTAAGAATATAAATTAAAGCCTAATAGAATGCTTAGAAGTTAATAGTGTGCCCAGTCATTGTTTGCATAACAGAAAAATAACCTTATATGCTTGGGCATTTAGCTTTATGTTGTATTTGATATACAGAAGTTATAATACGTTAATACATTAATGAAGTGATGATGTAATCCTTGGAACTAAGAATATTTTTTTATTCACAGATACACCATTATTTTATAAAAGTTTTCTGCTAAATGGTAAAGATGGCTTAGATTTGATGCAGTACACACTTGCTGTGGTCTGATTTCTGTGAAGGAGCTTCATTTTAGAAGTAGTGCTTTCACTGCAGTACATAGCATATACTGTTACAAACTAGACTAAGCTGCTTTTCATCTGTACTATGGGATCAAAGCTGCCGTGTTAAGTGGTGGACTGATACTTTCTTCTCTGGTACAAGGAAGGGTTAGAAGCATTAGAGAGGGAAGTAGAAGCAGTGCTTAAACAGCTTCAAGATAATACACCTGGTAATCAGCTAGCAGTAGAATTGTTAAGAGTTCACATTTGCTCAGGCTTCAGAAGTATTGTAACACTAGCATTAAAAAAAATCCCTGAAATTTTTTATTTGAATTTTCAAGCCTTTTCATGTAACTTTAAGTTAAGTGAAGATGATATTCTTAGCTAATTACATAATTGCATTAATTACAGTAATATTCATCATATATGTATGATTAGATTAATGATTATGTGTTTCAGGCTTAAAAAAATGACAGCTGCCTATAAATTAGTGACGTGAAGATGCAGCAAAGTCATCCCATGCCACAGAAAGTAAAAATTTAGTCCATTACTTCACTGTTACAGTCTGTGGCATGGAAGCAATGGATAAAAATCCTTACTTTGCCTGCTTTGTAGCTAAATTGGATGTATTTACACTTACAGTCACTGCTGCAAAGTATAAACATGTATGATGACGTTTTCTGGGGATGCCCTCATACTGTTGTCTCCTCTGTGCTTGTGTCTCTGACAGCTTAATGTAGAGTACAAGTGGCCTCTGTTTAGTCAGAAAATAACTTGTTACTGATAGAGCTCAAAAGGCCTGATGTGGGTATTATATGGTAAAAATATGTAGCCTTCTAGTCTGCAGAAATTAATGGGTATCAGTTATTATATTGACAGTACTGACTATTATATTGTTGGCATGTATAGAAATACAGTGCTTTTAATATTTAGATTTATATCTAAATATGTCAGATGCTTAATTAGTTGCTAGCTTTTTCTAGGTATATTAATGTATTATTGCCTAGAAACTGCACAGTGATTCAGCTCCTGAGATTATTTGTTTTGAAGCTGAGCTAAAAAAAAGGCACTTGCTTTCTTGGACCTCTACTCATTAACTAGAAATTCTATACAATAAGATTTTATAAAATCGGGGGTTTGCATCTCAAAATTGGAGTATGTTAAAATCATAAAATATTTAATAAATTATATGGAGTTTCATCAGTAAGTATCTTGGTGTACTTTGTGGACTGCAAATACGAAAAGACCAATTGCCACATACCTGTGAAACAAAATGCTCTGTAAATATAAATGTTGTAGCAGTTTAACACTACTGTCATGCTCTTGGTAAGTTTCACCTCATAATGTTCTTTATAACCAGATGAGAAATACAGAAAAGTTCCCCTTTCTGATCCTTTCCCCTTCCAAATGGGCAAGCTTTGGCTTCTTTTGACTGTTGGTGTTAGATGAGCCTGAGAATGAGTCTGCTCTCTTAGAGGACAGGTTCATGGCATGAGTTGGTTTGGAAGGCATAAAAATACCTTTATTTCAAAAGCTATTGAAGCTGCTGTTTAATGCCCTGACCGTCTTGAAAATCGTGTTAATATTTCCAAAAAGATATATTTGATAATTAGCAGATAAGTCTCCTTCCATCATTTTTTTTTTAAATACTGTAAATAGTCTTCTTGTTATCTTGTAATTGTGCAAATATGATTTCTTCTGAGAACTATTTTTTGCATTGATGTAAAATGTATTAGAAATGTGTTGCACATAATAAAAATAACTTTTGAAAAACATTGCTGGAGGGGAAGCAAATTGCTAAGAGAAAGTAAGCTTACCCAAGAAAGACATCAGTGCACCCTTGCTCAGTCATGATTTTATCTCCTACTTACAATTTTCAGTATTTCTCTATTGTCAAAATTAAATTCTACAAATACATAGTAATATTCTACTGTACACAAAAATTTAGTTGGAAACTAGCTGATGGAAGTTATTATTTCATTGAAACCTCTTACATACCTTTCATTTTACTTTTAGCTTTTGTATATTGTCATTAATGTTGAAATCACTTGATTAATATTTAAAAATGTTTCATGTAGTATAGTCTGCTCTTATGGATGTTAAAATAACCCAAACTGACAAATTTATGACTTTCATACCTTAGTTTGGATGAAACTGAAACAAACTGAATTTAATCAGAGCTTTAATGCTGTGAATCTTCATTATAGAATCAGAACTTCTAATTAATTTCACCATCAATCCCAAATTTCCTTTGGAAAAGGTTTATTAACTGAAAACTAAGACACAGATAATAAACCCTAACAAATATTAGCTTAATTGTATGACCAAGGCGATTCTCTTGTCTTATACCATGATCTGGAATTTGTAACCCTTCCTGGGTTGCAGAAAGGGTTACCCTGGACTACTAAGTGTAACGGTGTTTGGGGGTTGGGTTTTGTTTGTGGGGG